GAGGAAAGAGGATTGCTGTGAGTTTGAGACCAGTCTGGGCTACATAGTGAGTTCCAGGTCACTCTCCACTACATAGTGAGACCCTGTCTCAAAAAATCAAAAAAAAAAGGGGGGGTAGTATTTTACCTGTGTTTTGACCTACTAGAGTTTCTGAAATGTATTTCAAGTCTCAATTTTTCTAGTTCAAAGTTAGAACAACTATGGTTGATTTTTATTCAATATTTTTGCACTTTTATATACCAAGTTAATATGCTCCAATCCGGCAAAAATTCTTTTCATTCCCTCTCCCACTCCATATGAATGTCCCAAACCCTTATTAGGGAAGATAGTCATCAGTTCAACTTCACTCCTCTTTAACAGAATCTCTCTTTTTAATTATATTTTGGGGCAGTCATGGTGAAGTGCATGTGTAAATCCAGCACAGGGCAGGCTGAGAAACACACGTCACAGGGAGTTCAAGGCTGACTTGGACTGCAAAGGCACTAAAGGCCAGAATCAACTGCATAGTGAGACCCTGTTTCAAATAAATACTGATTTTGGGTTGATACCTAATAATATACATTACTTATGGAGCACAGAACAATAGGCATATCCATCACCTCAAATATGTATCATTTCTTTGTGTTGTAAGCAGTTCTAAATCTTCTCTACTAGCTTTTTGTTTTGAAGTATACAGTTAATTATTGCCAACCATAAGTTCCTTTTAATTTCATCAACAGCATTGTTATCTTCATCTTTTATCGTGCATGTCCTTATAACCTCCCCAGAGAAAAAAGGTGTACTGTTTCCCCTCCTCATTTGAATTGGCAGAGGGAACTTCTGAGGCACACTGCACAGGGTGTAGAATTTTCCTAAGAAATCCTTTACTCTTGAACTTCGTATCTACCCACAGGCAGTACTGCAAGGACTTTGTGTTTATTTTAAACTCTTAGGAATAAGGTTTCACCTCACTTCATTTTAAAAAATGACAGAATCCTGTACAAGTGGCACATATCCAACCTTTGAAATGTGCACATGCCCTTTTTAAGAAATAGGTAAGTGTGGTCCCTGTTCTTCTCATGTTATGTGTATGAGATGGAAAGAATGATTGAGTAGGGTGAACAAAATGAGACTCTAGTCCTTATAGAATCACACACCTTCAGAATTAGGAAGGCATAAGTTATGCTTTGTTTAATTTTCAGTTTTGGGCTTTGTGGCAAATGTACATGTTATCATTTATCAAGGTGGCAAGACCTCAGAATTTTAGTTTTTTAATTAATTAATCCACATTTCAATTGATGTGTTATTGTTTGAACCAAAGGGCATTGTTACTGACCTACATCCCATGCTTTTTACAGAACCACTTCATTTTGGGCTGGGGAGTTAGCTCAGTGGTGCTGCTGGCTGCCTGGCAAGTAGAAGGTCACAAGTTCAAGCCCCAGTGCCCCAAAATAAAAAAGACAAGCAAAACTATTTCATTGGGAGGCAAGGTCTGCCTAATTTGCTGTTGCCAAGGTTGGATTCAAATTCACAATCTTCCTTCTTCATCCTCCAGCGGTGCTAGGTTTTCAGTTGTTTGTCACCAGGCTCAGCTGAAATTCAAACCTATAAATTGTGCAGAAATAGACTCAAAAAGTGACAGAAAATGAAAAATAAGCACTTAAAATTTGGTCAGAATGGCAAGAGCCTGTGACATTTAAAAATAGATAGATTCTATGTTCACCATCTGCCTCCTGTGGAAAGTAGTCTCATTTAGTTGTGGTTTGAAAATTTGAGGACAGCCAGTGGTGGCTGGTTGTGCAAGTTTACAATCTGTGCCATTCAGGTAGCTGTGGTGGGAGGACTTTACATCGAAGGTCACCAAAGGGAGTCACTGTGAGTCCCCATCCGAAAATAAAAACCAAACGTGTGTAAGTGTAGATCAGTGTAAAGGCCCTGTGCCGGCCCAGCCGTCACAACACGAACATGCCTGAGTTGGGGAGTGAGGATTGAGAAAGGAAAGAACACTCAAACCTGAGTGAGACACAAAGAAGTCTTGTGACAGACTGCTTGGGCCTGCACAAGATGGCTGCCCTCAACCTTAGCCTTTGCCTCAGTGGAAAAATCCCACTAGACTACATGCGTGACTTTTGGTAGGTCTAGCCCCTGGGCAAACAGGAAATCTTACAGAAAGAATAGCCCTTTGTGCTAACCATAGGGTCACGGGATCTGGAGCAGGAAGCAGGTGGTATTTCCTTGTCCTGCTTGCCCCTAGAGATTGTGAAGTTAAAGATCGCATAGGGTTAACTGTTGATGTACGCCTTCCCACTTACCCCTCCCCACATTTGGTAAAATACTGATTGCTGTATGCTGCTAAGTGCTTTGTCCCTTTATGCTTAAATGCTTGAATGACTCATGTGATTGGTAGAGGATTTGTTTGAACTGTCCAATAAGCTTGCTGAACCTTCCCCCTGGGATAACAGTATATAATCGTTTTGCTGAGCCAATAAAGTGCCTTTGATCAGAAACCAGACTTGGGCCGTGTGCTCTAACTTCTTAAAGATTTCGTTCACAGACATTCAAGATCGGATCGGCCTCTGATGACCCATGAATAAGAGGCGGCTCTCACCTCCTATTCCCCGCTGGACGGGGTCCCCCCAGAGAGCCGCAAAGTCTAATTTATTTTACAGCAATAGCTCTTTTTAAAGGCACATCAGCAGGAAGCACCAAGCAATTATTTTTATCTTATGCAAAGGTCAGTTTCCTTGACTGGTTACAGATAATATGGACTCTTTGACAACATTCCTGATTTCCTCTTATCTCAGGGTCAAGCTTAAAGAGCAGTGTCCTTGAAAGGCAACAAATGTTAACACAGGAGCATCCTGATAATAGATTGTGTCAATGCCTTAGTTGTAGAGGAAGTAGTTATTTTTCAAAATTAAAGGCTAGTGGGTCATGACTGGCCCCCACAAGGCCCTGCTTGCAATCCCCAGTACAAAGAAAAAAGCTGATTCTGAGTGAGATGTCCCAGGAAGAGACAGGAATTTCCTGATAGTTGGTCAGAAAGCCTCACCTCAGACTGAGAAGCACCCAGCAAAGGACACATTTGAGTTTTACAGGTTTTACAGTTTTACAGTGAATGGCATTCGGTATTACTGCTATTCCCAGCTGGGGCTGTTCCCTCAGGAAAGAGTAGGGTTGATTACTGGAAGGCTCTAAGTTGGCACCTGGACCAAAATATGCTCAAAACTTTGTTATGTCCTTCGTTTGGCACAACATTTTATACATTGTAGTGAAAGTGTAAATGAAGGCTAGGGTTGTTTTCTTTCAGGCCACTGTCCCTCTTTGCTAGCACTGCTCTCATCCAGTTCATTCTCATGACCCTCCACTTACATCAAGGAAGACAGGGTCTTGCTTGCTTAATTATCAGCTGCTTGTCTGCAGAGTTGCAGATGCCACCTTGCTTTCCCTTGGGCTGGGATTTTAAAGCCCTGAGCTTCCCCATCTTGCGTGAGAGTGATTTCGTGATTAGAAGGTAATGAAATATTAAGGATTATTTAATCACATCAATCCCTGGAGTGATATGCAAACATACATTAATGAAATAGTAATGGACTTTTCTTTTTTACTTCCTCTATTTTGTGTTTTGTTTGTAGTGTATTAGGATTCAACCCAGGGCCTCATGCAGGCTAGTAAGTACTGTACTAGGAAGACCCATACCCAGAATTTTTACATTTTTAAAATTCCTCGACAGGCTGTCACTTATTTGCCCAATGATGCCTGAAATCCTCCTACCTCAGACCTTTTGAATAGCTGGGATTACATGTGTGCTCAGCCCCACCAGGTTTAGTTTCTCTAGCGTAAAACTGGAAAATGTTATCCCTTCCTTCTTGCTCAACATTGGGAGAAGTCTCTCAAACAAAAATGATCCTTGTGAATGCAACATAGGGTTGGGGATTTTATGTGTAAAACAATGTTCTGGGCTTAGGAAATAGCTCAGTGATAAAACATTTTTTTGGCATGCAAGAAGGCACAGAGTTCCAGCCTTCTTGCCAGACACAACCTACACATTCTCAAAAAGTCAAACCACTTTCATATTAAATCAAAATTATCACTATTTGGGATAACAAATACAGCTACCTTGAAGTGATAGGAAAACCAAAGTGTTTTTCCTTCTATTGGTGTTAACACAATTATAAAACAACACTAACCCTGTCATCTCCAAAATGTGGGAAGTTTTTCTGTACCAGTAATGAATTCTGGAGCGGACCCTAGTGAGGTGTCATGTAATTCCACTGGATGCAGATGCTAGCTGTGCTTGCCTAGAAGCATAAAACTCTGGGTTGAGGTCAAGTACTGAAAAGAAAAATTGTGACCCTATCTACCAAAGGATAGCCCAGACTGCACAAGTTAAGGGCTTAGCATCATGGGACTGTGCTCTGTTATATATCAATCTCAGGAGCCAGTCTAGACCAGTGTTTTTCTGTTTCGCGGTACATTGGGTTGAACTCAGGACATTTGCATTCGTGTACATCTCAATACCACGTTTAAAAACATAATTTTTTCTGCAGGGCATGGGGGTTTAGCTGAGTGGTGCTGCCTCCTGCCTCGCAAAAGCAAGGTCCCGAATTTGATCCCTGGTACCAAAAAACATTCTTTTTAAAAATTTTGAGCAGGGTATCCTACGTCACTGGGTTGCCCAGTCTGGGACTGATTTTGAGATCCTCCTGCTTCAGCCAATTACAGGCAGACACTGGCAAAGTCTTTTTTTTTTTTTTTTTTTTAATTCAAAACAGTAACGTCTAAGTTCAAAAGAGACGAAATGGGAAGCTTCTAAATATTTACGTAGTTCCAAGCTGCCAAGAAAAGAGTTCTGGAAATTGGTTTTAAACCAGGAATGCAACTAATCCTACCGAAAAAGCACAATTTAAAATGTCCTCCAGGCCTGAGGGGGGAGCTCAGTTCCAAAGCACCTAGCCATTGTGCCCCAGGCAAAGAGAACGTCCAATCGGAGTGCGCCGTGAAAGGCCGGAACACCCTGCGCATGCGCATTAGTCATCCCTGACCCTCCCGACTTTGCAGCCTTTTGGAGCTCGCTGTTTTTCTCGCGGTGTCCTTTGTCGCGCTGTCCCCCTCGCTCTCGAGCGTTCCTCCGGAAGACTCTAGGAAGACTCAGCAGCAGGAAGATGGCAGTGGTGAGTGCGGGGCTGGGAGACGCGGAAAGCCGGGATGTATGCAGCTCCGAGACCGACTCAGCTTCCATGTGCGTTCCGGAGTCCGC